TGTCTCCTTATGCTTATTTTTGGATCTTTCACTGGATCTATTGGATCTTTGTATCATCATCTTCGTATCTTTGGATCAGTGTATAATTTATGCTCCATAAAAAATAAATTTTTTAAACAGATCTATTAATTAATCTTAAAATACATATTGCAGATTCCGTGCAGTGATGTAAGTCCGATGTATTATAGCCTTAAGATTTGTACCTAGAATTTACTGGTGTATGAGAGTCTTAACTCATATACTGCTGTTAATGGACCGAGTTTAATGGAAAAAGAGAGAGTACTTGGAAATTGATGCATACATATTAAGATATGTCCATAAACTATCCACAACAGTAACTGAACTGCCTTGATTATGTATTTAGTGCAAACAAAAGAATCTGTGAAAGAACAGAAATATCTGGAGAGTGGAAATAGGAGTAGATAACATGCTGACAACCCACAAAGTATATTCAAGTTTACACCATACATGACTGGCTTAATATTTTACACATGGCAAGGATATGTAGATCTGGTAAGAAACCTTATATTGTAGAACTCAAGTATAAGAACTTTTTTGAGTTAAGGGTGCTGTCAAAAGTAATAATGAAAAATAGGCCAAAACATGCATATAATGGAGAAAAAGTTATCTTTGATGGAACACAAGGCAAATATCGAACACAGTATTTAATTAAATCTTGCCCAAGTACTTTCGATCACAAGATCATCCTCAGGGGCATTTCGTCAATTGTGGCCTATCCAGCAATAATGGAATGTCATACATGTAAACTGGGACATAACAAATACACTAAAGACAAACAAACACTTTAAAATTTGAATTGGAGAAGCTACATTTTTATAGTATAGAAGCCGGAGACAGAATAGTATATATATAATATAGTATAGAAGTATATACTATAATATAGTATAGAAGCCGGAGGCAATCTGTCTCCGGCTTCTATACTATAAAAATGTAGCTTCTCCAATTCAAATTTTAAAGTGTTTGTTTGTCTTTAGTGTATTTGTTATGTCCCAGTTTACATGTATGACATTCCATTATTGCTGGATAGGCCACAATTGACGAAATGCCCCTGAGGATGATCTTGTGATCGAAAGTACTTGGGCAAGATTTAATTAAATACTGTGTTCGATATTTGCCTTGTGTTCCATCAAAGTTCATTTATTCGAACATTCAACCTTATTGAAAAAGTTATCTGGCTAAAAACAAAATGCTTGAAATATTTAAAATCCAAACCAGGCATTGTGTTGTAAAGGTACGATCTCAGTTCTGACTACAAAGAAATAAATATTTTCGGTTATGGTAGCCCTGTTAATCTGAGCAAAATAAACTTAAAAAGGCATACCGAAACTTCCATTTATCAATTAAAAAAAAAAAACAGGATCTATTAAAACTCTGCCAATCAGGAATCATCCCCGATGAGTTTCATCAGTATTATAAATCATTACCGTCGACAGTATACCTGAGGTTGATATTGAGGACAGTGATGTTAAAAGTGACCTGAAAGATAACTAACTTTGTACAACCAAAAACCAGACAAGTGCCGCAAATAAATGTTTTTCGTATATATATATATATATACAGGGTGAGTCATGAGGAACTTTACATACTTCTACCATATGTAGAGTCCCTCAGGGAGCATATCATGTGGCCACTAAAAAATGTCAACTCCTCTTCTTTATTAATTAACAGGGTGATTTGTGTAATTGACCATTTATTTGATTTTACTGTAGTGTTTATACGGCTCATTTGATTTTTTTAATTTTTGCATGATACAGTATACTACTATCAAGCATTCGACTGGTATTAGCTAAACTAAAAAATTCCAAGACTGGCTTTGGAAAAATTAATTTAGGGATTCGTATTAAATATTACACCCTGTATATATATATATTTTTTAATGCAATAAGTGATTTTCAAACTACATAAATAGCCAATGAAAACGACATATGCGACAATGTTGTCGCACTTTTATTAAATTTTTAGTGAACGATCAAATCTTACCAAAAATAGAACAACCATAATGAAGTATCAAATTATAAGGTATTAATTTAAAAAAATGTTATAAATTTCAAACATTTTAATTAAAATGAGTTCCTACAACATAATCTAATACGTAGAAAATTAACATCTTTACTGTCACTTTGTATTATCTCTACGATAGAATCAATTGTTTTTCAATTTTAAATTTTTACTCATAGATCGTATTGGGGCATTATTTTCGATAAATAATAAATTAAATTGATTAAAAAGTCAAACCTCTTGTATGTGTTAGTTTTTGTTGATTGTAAATGATTAAAATTTTATGTCAAATAATAATACATTGCATCAACTGTACTAAATAAAAATTAATCTAAAAAAGTTTAAAATGAAGGTTGGCGTTGACCGTTTGACGTTTCGTGATATTTTATTCCCATTGTCATTATCAATTGTTATTTATGTGTACAAGAATACATATTTCTTCTGTCATATCTACGTTAAGTACATTGTGTTAGTTTTGGTAGAGCTTTTGTTACTTTCGTTTAAAATACCACATCAGTTTTCGACCACAGAATATGCAGACATAATATTTGTTTATGGATTCTGTAATGGGAATGGTAGGGCTGCTAGTAGAGAATATCGCAGGAGATTTCCTAATCGTCGAACTCCCAGTCATCCAACATTTGGGTCAGTTTTTAATTATTTACGAGAAAATGGCACTTTTCCTAGTGGAACAACAGAGCGACATGTAGATGAAGCGCAGGAAGATGACATTATGGACGCCGTAACTATGAACCCTACGATATGCACTAGACAAGTAAGTCGAGAACTCAATGTTATTCAATAAAAAGTAAGTAGAGTCTTGCAAAAAAATAATCTATACCCATATCACATTCAAATGGTTCAGCGACTACATGCTGGAGATGAGATCGATAGGTTGGAATTTTGTAGATGGATTAAGAATAATCGACCAACGCTATACAGGACACTATTTACAGATGAAGCCCAATTTACCAGAGATGGGATAAATAATTCACGAAATTCACATGTGTGGGCAGAAGAAAATCCCCATGCTATTCGAGAACGTCGTTCTCAGTTAATGTTTTCGGTTAACGTGTGAATTGGTGTCATAAATAACCAATTAGTAGGTCCTCACTGTTTTGATGGTCCTTTAACAGGGCAGGTCTATTTGAACTTTCTACAAAATATTTTACCGAATTTGCTTGCCAACGCGAACGTTGCTATCCGAGGGATGTATTTTCAGCATGATGGGGCACCCCCACACTTTTTACTGGCAGTGAGACAACATCTCGCGAATAATAATTGCAAACAGGTGTTATTATGGTCTATCAAAGTACTTAGCTAACAAACGTCTGTCTCAAAAAACTCGTATAAGGCTGTATAGAACACTGATAGTCCCCGTTCTCACATACGGATCAGAGGCATGGACGCTAACGAAAACAGATGAATCCGCTCTATCCATTTTTGAAAGAAAGGTGCTACGCAAGATATTTGGAGCGGTCTGTGAGAACGGAATATGGAGGCGTAGATATAACTTCGAACTGCAGAATATCTACAAGCATACGTTTGGTGGTAAAGATATTACCACTATAATTAAGCGAAACCGCCTGCAGTGGGCAGGACATGTAGCCCGGGCCCTGAATCGAACATGATAAAAAAGATTCTAACAGCGCAACCTGTGGGAATGAGACGACGGGGTAGACCAAAGCTGAGGTGGATGGATGGGGTAACACAAGATGCGGAGAAGATCGGAGTCGGCAACTGGAAAATTCAAGCAAGGGACAGAACAGAATGGCGTAGAAAGCTTGAGAAGGTCGAGGCCCTCTAAGGGCTGTAGCACCAAGATGATGATGATGATGAGACAACATCTCAATAATGTTTATGGCAACAGGACGTGCAGGTCCTATTTCGTGGCCTTCATGATCCCCTGATTTCAATCCCGTTGATTACCATATTTGGGGACGATTAAAGCAACTAGTTTACGCAGTGAATATTAATAACCGACAACAATTAATTGATAAAATTATACATTGTTGTAATACTATTAGAAACGATCCCCAGAGTATCCGTAATTCAATACGTCAATTAACAATTCGGCAACAAAAATGTGTACAGGCTGCAGGGTTCCATTTCGAAAATCTATTTTGAATTATTTTTATTTTGTTACCATTATTGTATCTTTTCCAGTTCTAATTTATGGGTTTATCATAACTATGTACATATTTTTAGTTTTTTTTTAAATTGTTCTTCGTTATTGTTAGTAGTTACTGTTTTTTGTTGTGCAGTGACTCAGTTTGTCATTTCAATTAAAATGTTTGAAATTTATAACATTTGTTTAAATTAATTACCTTATAATCTGATACTTACTTCATTATGGTTGTTCTATTTTTGGTAAGATTTGATCGTTCACTAAAAAATTAATAAAAGTGCGACAACATTGTCGCATATGTCGTTTTCATTGGCTATTTATGTAGTTTAAAATCACTTATTGCATTTTAAAAAAATATATATAGGGTGTAATATTTAATACGAATCCCTAAATTAATTTTTCCAAAGCCAGTCCTGGAATTTTTTAGTTTAGCTAATACCAGTCGAATGCTTGATAGAAGTGTACTGTATCATGCAAAAATTAAAAAAATCAAATGAGCCGTATAAACACTACAGTAAAATCAAATAAATGGTCAATTACACAAATCACCCTGTTAATTAATAAAGAAGAGGAGTTGACATTTTTTAGTGGCCACATGATATGCTCCCTGAGGGACTCTACATATGATAGAAGTATGTAAAGTTCCTCATGACTCACCCTGTATATATCCTTTCCCAAGTTAATATGCTCCTTTTCTAACTTGCCAACAACTGATGAATGAACTTGCCAAATAGTCAGAAATATGTATTTACGGTTGCCTTCCATCGATAATATACGATCGACGACCAAATAGCATGAAAAATTACTTCTTTGGAATAAATATAACATAAAAAGGTAACAATAAAACAAATATTCAAGCTTTACCAGTAAATCTGTAATATTTCTTATAATGATCGTACATAACTTTAAATATTTCAGTGGAAGCACTGGAGAGCACCCTCATCAAATAAGAGACTGCGTGTTGGTCACATATGGTTATCAAACTGTAGACACAGTTGTTTAAATGCATCTGAAAATAAAAACAAAAAATTATAAAATAATTTTGATACTGCTAATAAAGTAGTTTTTTCATCGATGCCTGAATTAATTTTAATTAGGTTTAGATTTTAATCAAGTTATTTCTAACAATTATAAGATGTGTATTAGAATCAGATTGCTGTAAAATTTAAAATTTTTAAGAAAAAATGTAAAAATTTAATAATGCCTTACATAAGTCTTAAAAAAATATACTGTGGCATAGAAATCCAATCTCCTATTATAAATTATTTTATGTTAATAAAATTTGGTATATTCGCTGTGAGCCGATGAGTAGAGGGGATTTGACAGTTTTCACCAACGCTGTTAGTGGCAGTTTTGTGCATTTAACTTGTAAACATTCAAATAATGGCGAATATGGATTTTTCAAAAAGAAAAATATATGATACATGTAAAAATACTGGGTACAACAGTCATTGTAAATTTTATTCATTTCCTGTTGCCAAGCATAAAATAGTTCAAAGAGAAAAATGGATTATTGCTATCAACGAGAAAAATAAGTAAATAACCTATAATGCAAACATGATATTTGTATGGTGTAAAATTAAAAAGCTATTATATTTCGAAACATTGCGTACATGCCCTGCATCAACTAAACCTTTTCCCTTTTTTGGTGTAGCTGGTTGAAATGGGATATCATGTGATATAGACTTAAAACCAGTATAATGTTTAATATCCATTTTGATAAAATTAAAACAAATTTAAGAGGTGGAGGCCATAAAACGAAAGAAGAAGAAGAAGAATTAAAACAAATTGATATCTAAGCACTAAGGCCTACGCACACAAAAAATAACTGAGCAAAAACAGAATAAAAATGTAAAATAAAAACAAGAATTACAACGTTACAGAGGTATAGGTAACCAGAATATAGACGTTTTAAGCGTCTATAACCTTAAATATTTGCTTTAACCATTAAATATTTTCATATAAACTTCTTCGTTTTCTCAATGACCTCTTGCGTAAGTAGTCATCCAGTCGCAAGAACTTATATCTTAAATATTATAATTATAATGAATAAAATAACAAGGCGTAATTACTTTTACTATTAATTCTGTGTATTCGTTCATTAATCAGTTTACCATAATATTTCAGTTCATTATTTTGTATTTTTAAATAAATATCTATTTTTCTCGTTTTGTCATATTTCATTTACACTGATTTTACAAGAAAAGTACAAGTTTCAAACCGCGAGAGAGCGCTACCGGCGAAACTCACAGCAAATAGGCTTATCTTGGAAAAAAACAATAAATGATTAGAATTTCAGCCACATCAATTTAGATTTTCGTTTTTCATTTTCAAAAATTTTAACTTTTAAATATAGTACCGATAAAAGATTTTCGGTGTTCGGTTCTTGGTTTTTTTGAATGTCATTTGCAATGCCTACAGTACGAAATAACACAAATATTTTCTGATAGAGGCGGATAACTGGCCAAAGAGCCAGACTTTCTTTTCCGGAAATTGCCAATGAGGTTCAATTTGTTCAATTGAGATGGATCAACATATTATTAATTGATTTACCCGGTAACTTGTGTCACTCCTATTGAAATTTTGATTGTTTAGTTATTTTGCTACCCTGTATCAATATAGTAAGTATTTTTAAAATATAATAATTCATAATGGGTGTTCGGATTTCTAGAAGTTTTACAAAATCTGAAAACATCATGTCATTATAGTAGGTGACATAAAAATTTTGAAAATATTTTCTACAATTATACTTTTCTCTTGAAGCAGAATGATTTTAATATTCGTCAATTATTTTACTGTATATATTGTAGTGATGGGAAGTGATTTCACTAACTGAAACGGTGACTAACATTTGGTGATTTAACAAAGGTGAATTTTAGGAACAGTAAAGTAAATAGTTCTGGTTGTCTGACTGAGAAACTGAGAACTGACTGAGAAGTAAAATATAGGTTATAGGTTGAATAATAAGTAGGCTGTTTTTAACGAAACGAATTTCTATTAGGTAATCAGATATTTTATGTGGTCTATGTACTCACATTTTTCCCTTTAAAATAATAAATTTAAAATAATGTCATTAAACGTATTGAATATATTTTTTCTTTCATAAAAAAAATGAATAAAAAATTTCATCTTTCAAGTGCAGGAAAATATTTTGCCCTTAGTGAAACTTATCCTTGGGTGTGAGGATGCGTCATTAAGTGATGTAAGAGAGTGGATTTCAAGTGATGATCAGTATGAAATAACCGACGAAAAAATTGTTACTCTTGTTCATAGTGAAGGTGGCGAAGACATCGAAGAACCAGAGACTGTTGAGCCCTACAAAGTTTCAAACAAAAAGTAGTACACATTTTTGAAGCTGCGAAATACGCCGGGAAACAAAAATAAGCCAGAGCTGTCGACATTATGATACTACAGAGATGGCGAGAGCAGCGACAAAACCCTAGCTTTTTCGCTGGGAATGGTCCGTTATGGGACAAATTAAAGAACAATAAATCACCGGGATCGGATCAAATATCATCGGAGCTACTGAAAGAAGGAGGAGACGCATTACTTAAAACCATACATGAGCTGATAAGAAAGATATGGTTGAATAAACAGCTACCAAAGGAGTGGAATAGCGGCATTATTGTACCACTACATAAAAAAGGAAACCAGTTAGAATGTGAAAACTACCGTGGAATCACGCTGTTGAATGCGGCATACAAAATAATGTCCAACGTAATGTATGAAAGACTTAGACCATACGCTGAAAAAATAGTTGGCAAATACCAATGTGGCTTCTGTAGACAGAAGTCAACAATAGACCAGATATTTGTTCTGCGACAGATCCTTGAAAAAACAAGTGAATATAACATCGACACACATCATCTCTTCATAGACTTCGAAAGCGCATATGACAATATAAACCGAGAATTCCTAACAAAAGCAATGAAAGAATTTAATATACCAACACAGCTAATAGAATTGATAAAAGAAACACTAAAAGTAGAAAGTAAAATCCGGATACAAAACGAATTAACGGAAACAATAGATGTGAAGAAGGGACTACGCCAGGGAGACGCTCTATCATGCATATTATTCAACATCATACTTGAAAAAATAATAAGAGACACAACAGTTAATACCCGAGGAACAATAATTAATAAAAGCGTGCAAGTACTAGCATTTGCAGATGATGTTGACATAATCGCAAGATCAAGAAGAGAAATGATAGAGGCATTCACTCAAATAGAACGAGCTGCAAAAAATAGTGGTTTTAAAATCAATCAGACAAAAACAAAATATATGCCTGCAAATAAAAGCGCACAAATAAGGCAGCTGCCAAATTTAACAATAGGAGAATACAACATTGAGGCGGTAAAAAACTTTACATACTTAGGATCCCTAGTTACGTCTGATAACAACGTTGCAGAGGAAGTGAAGAGGAGAATATTTATTGCCAATAAATGTTACCATGGCTTAATTAGGCAACTAAGATCAGATAACGTCTCCAGAAAAACAAAATGCCAAATATACAAAACCTTAATAAGACCGGTACTCACATACGGTTCAGAAACCTGGACACTCTCTAAAAGGGAGGAAACGTTATTAGCCACCTTTGAAAGAAAAATTTTGCGACACATATATAAGGGCACAAAAGAAAACGGGATTTGGCGGAGAAGGTATAACTTTGAACTATACAACATATACCAGGATCCGGATATCATAACATTCATTAAAATAGGAAGGCTACGTTGGATTGGACATGTGGAAAGAATGGAAGAAGGCGAAATACCAAACAAAATATTCAAACAAGTGCCAGTAGGAAAAAGAACAAGAGGAAGACCGAAGCTGAGATACGTAGAACAAATAGAAAATGATATAACAACATTAAAAATTAAAAGCTGGAAAAAAAAGCACGAAACAGGTCAGAATGGAGAAGAATCCTTGAACAGGCCAAGACCCAAAGGGTTGTCGAGCCAGTGATGATGATGATGGTCCGTTATGGGAACTTGAAAAACGCCGTGGGTTGGTACAGTACTGCCAAAAGTTTTAAACTTAAGGAAAGTAGAACGCTACATTACCTAATATAAGTGATCGTAATCACGGTTGTTTAGTTTACGATTACTGTGACTACATATTCCTCCTCCTCTACATTTTCTCCTTCTTAAGGATGTAGTGGCGTCATACAATTTGTTTGACTATTTCTGTCCAATTATCTCTCTCCTGTGCGTGTTGTTTTGCTTCGGAGAATGAGTAAACAGTCATCTCCTTAATTTGGTCCGACCATCGTACTGTAGACCTTCCTCTGGATCTTTTACCCGCTACGTTACCTTCAGTATTATTTACATATAGTTTTTTTAATAAATAGATTATATGTTTTGACGGACAAATTTCTTTAAGTATATGCCACATTTTATCCCATTTTATGGTATCGAAGGCCTTGGAATAGTCAACAAAGCATAAATAGTTTCTATTTTAAACTCTCGAGATTTTTCGATAATTTGACGAATATTAAGAATATGTTCTCTTGTTCTTCTACCTGGGAGTCCTGGGACGAATCCGCATTGTTCTTGGAGAATTTGTGGTAAGAGAATTGATTTTAGTCTTTCATTGATGAAGGTTAGAAGTGCTTTGCTCGCGTGTAATATCAATGCTACTGTACGGTAATTACTGCAATCTGTTGGTGAACCTTTTTTATATATGGGAATAAACATGAGTTAACCCCAGTCATTTGGCCACTTTCCGGTATTCCAGATCTCTTGGCAAATTGTAAGCATTACTTCTATCCCTAATTCTTCAATTTCTTTGAGCGTTTCAGCTGTTATTCCATCTTCTCCTTCTGCTTTTCTGATTTTTAGCTTTTTAATTGCTGCCTCAATTTCTGATTTCAGTATTTGAGGTTTTTTTTCATAACTTCTTTTCTCTGTATTATTGTCTGGGTCGTTGTTAGAGAATAATATTTGGCTATACTGTTTCCACAGCTCTGCGATACCGTCTGGGTTTGTTATGGTATTTCCACAATTATCT